TTAATACAATAGAAAGGAAACCGCAGTGGTGTACTACACATTTTTCAACTATTATTTATTTTACGATACTTCACATTGTTAGCAAAGCACTTTGGTTACTTAACACGTAAATCTATTATTAGGAATTCATCTGTAGCTACATAAAAATATTACGACACTCCTACCCGAATGCTCTTTATGACCCACTACAAAAGTTGACCACACGGAAATTTTTACGCCGTCTCTACGCCTATGCGTAATGGGAATTATGATTCATTGCACAGGTTTAGTTGAACGCCTGCCAGTTCCACAAGACGAGATAGTTTCTGAAACGTTATTATCGTTGAAAGGTTTTTGTCAAAACAGTGTTTCACAGTTTCAAAGTTATTTATCGACGCCGCAAAAAGCAAAATGCTTTTGGATTTTTTCGATCGAATGAAACGTGCTTTGCCTGTCACATCCAAAACCTAAACGCGTCAAATCCATCTGAAAATACATTTTCTGGTGCAATTAAAATGGGCACAAATTGATACTGTTGTTGATTGAAAAAGTATATAATTCGTACCCTTGTTCCCCGACAACCGAAAAAAAAACCTTTTAAGACCAATTAATGGCTCCGAGAAAATACCCCGATAGATACATCAACCAGGAATAAAAAGGATCAGGGGCTTTATATACCCTCCATTCTATTTATTTCTTAAAGCGGGGTCCGTGTACGTTTGACCGACTAAATCGTCAATTATTGCCGACAGAGTTCGACGTCTGCCATAACAACTCTTTGATTTCTGTCCGCCTGGATCTGCTATCGATTTTGTCATTTAAGCCACTGTACACAGGATACGCCCACTGAACTGTCGCGCCTTCGACTTCTATCAATGTTAGAAAAAAATATATTACACAACATGAAAGGGAGCTTTTCTACGGGTTTCGGATCGTACCGGAGTTGATCGGTTTTCATTTATATAAATAAATGTTTAGTTGATAGCACCAAACACTTAAATAATTTCAAAACCATACATATTAAACACGATAAAGGGAAAATCCGAAAACGTAATAATGTCGTACAAAAAATCAGGGTTAGGTAGCAAACATGCCAACAAGATTCTTGGCAGAAGCAGTACCGACTTTTATCGAAGACATTTATAGCTAGAATTAATAATAATGTAACAATGGACCTTGAAAGGGACGATTTTTTATGTTACGAAGCAATATATCTTTAGAAGTTCATCTGCAAAACTATTAGAGTTCGAACAAGCTGCAAATAAATCGATACAAAAAGGGTACAACATTTTATGTTTCCGGCTCGGGCGAAGTTAGATACGATTTTTCCAATACAAAGGAGAAGGGGACATCTTATCGGGCATGCAATACACTAAACCAGTAGTATCCCATGAAAGAGTACGTGGGTAATGATGCGTGCGCCCGAACTGTAACATGGTTGAATTTCAATTCACTAACGCTCTTTACACGATTGTTATCACCTAGAAAGGCGAACCTTAACAGGATTCCTTTACTTTACACCATCAAATTTATGTTGAAATTGCGTAATTATCTTTTGTTGTATCCAGACATGCAACATAATGTCGTAACGTAACTCCAACGCGTAGCAATTTGCCGTGCACGGTGTTACATACATTTAAATAGACAGGGATAATCATTGTTAACGCAAACTGTACTGATTGAACAATATGACACGTGACACGTTCAGACAGTCAAAACAAAGAACATGTTGCGATGTTACGAAGTTGCTGTGTGCTGTTCACATCAACGCACCATGTTACGTTACGGAGTCGCGTTACGGTGTTCTGTTGCATATATGGACGCAAACGTCACTTTTGAATTGACCATAACAGAGATAAAAATAAACGACTCATATTGAGATCGAAAAGTGGGTACTTCAATTAAATTTTCACTAGTAGTTTTGAATTACAATTCACTTTACTAATATGTGTTATATTTACCTTTAATTTCGCAGTGTTCCACACTGATTTCAGTGAAGTATTTGGGGTTATATTTTCGTTATTTATAAATTTTAGTGTAGTAGTTATTAATTCAGTTAGTTTTTCAATCGGATCGATACGTTTCGACTCGACAAACATTACATGTACAATACGGATCGATAAAATTACCATTTAGAAATAAACAACCACAATTCTGTCGACTAAGAGGGCTTATATAACGGTCGTTGCACCGTTAATAAATCAATAGCAGCAAAGGTATCTGTAATGTATTATTAAGGGTTCTCAAATTACCTAAGGGTATAAAATAAAATTCGTTTGAGTTTATTAACCGAGAGAGAAATATAAAAGACTTTATCAATTACCAATCGGTTTTCTTTTTGAGATGAAACAAACTAAATTTATAAAATACATTAAAATTTCGCGTAGCTGCACATTTGACAAGGACAAATTACGTATTTGGGAAATAGAACCACCAGGTGGATAGGGCAAAATTATTTAAATGAATTTTGATAAAATAAAAGTTTCTCTGGATTTTGTAAAATTATGATTGAAAAAAATACTAGGAATTCTAAACTAATGCAAAAAATTAAAGGGTCAAAAGAATTTCCGAAATTTTTCCGTGATTTTTCACAGACTGTATATAAGTGAAAAATGGTCGTATCGGGAATTTAAAAAAAGCATTTTGAACCTCTAAGATTCTAGTTTTTAGATCTTTCGGTCGACAAAAAAAAACTTTTCGAATTTTCTTTTATTTTTTTTTCATCAATTTAAACGTCATTTGCGGTAAAATTGAGAAAAACCTCAAAAAATTTTTTTCCCATTTTAATCATGATTATGAAGTGTTTAAACTCAAAAAACGTGACCCTTTCATTTTTTTCAAAAGTTTGACGGCTTGGAACATAGAAACTTCACAGGGTTCTTCTGGGCATATCGAACTGTAAAAGTCATGCTTAACATTAGTCATTTCGTGAATATTTCTAATTTAGCCGTCAATTTCCTAAAAAAACCTTAAATTATCCCTTTTTTCTGTTTTTTAAAATTTGTGTAATAGATGATAAAAAAAAATCCCGAAAAATTGCGGCAACATGTTATANTTTTGCCTCGAGAATTTTTTTAAGTGTCTCGTGATTTATTTGTATTGTTTTGTTCATCAAATTCAATAAAAAAAAATATTAGTTCGTTGATATTTATTTTTAGAGGTCGCTCGAAAACATTTTAGGCACACTACTTTTAAAATTAAAATAATTATGAGTGACCTTTAGAAATCAAATTATCAATTTGAAATTTTCAGAATCGAGATTTTTTCAACCTAGAAAATGATAAAATAACGCGAAAAAAAATTTAAAAAAAAATTCAATTTTTAACGATATTGGAAATTTTTAAGTTTTGAGCGACCTCTAAAAATTTTTTTTTTTGACTGATTTTTTGAGGGGGCTCTTAAAACATGATAAACTAACATATTTTCACAAGAGACACGAAAAAGAAATATTCGTGTTTTTTTTTTTTGGGCCACCCTAATCTTTATGACTATAAAATGGCCCAAAACACGATCTCCTGAAGTTCCATTATGACTTACTCACATACATTGAATAGATTATATTTAAAATGGGTTTCGAACATTTACCTACTATACTCAAAAAGCTAATGCGACCGATTTTATCGAATCTACGGTGGATTGGACTGTGATTGTGCCCGCTTTAAACAAATTGGATTTCCTTGTAAAACAGAGGAACCCTCCTGAATACCATGAACAAGAAAATATATTTTCCGCGACACTTGCACACGATCACAATATTCCCAGAGGTACTTGTGGGCAAATAAAAGTAACTTAAGGACTGCGATACGAGCCGCATGCAAGCCATCAACGGGAAACGGAAAGGCGATCTAAAGTCGTTCATATATTTCACGTTAAGGCAGGCTAAACTACCACTGAAGAAAAAGCAAAATTAGGTGCACTTGCAGGGACATCTTTGTGTCATATTCATGCAGTAGCGAAAAGCATATCATTTTATTATTAATACCCACATAAATTTTGTTAAATTCTGCCATGTTATTTTATATTTATGCATCTTAATCTCCCGCGGCGGATGATAGAGGAATATATACAAATTATTTTTCCTTATCGTTTTCAATTATAGAAGACATGATCTTGTATACTTATCTTTGCCCTTATATCACTCCCTTCGAGGGAACATTGGACGTTTATACATAACTGACCACATTAAAGATAAGATGTTCCTCTTCCTGGCTACGATACGTTTAATGTTTAATTATGGTAAAAATTTACATGATTGTGTTATTTTATAATTTACACAAAAATAAATAAATTTATAAACAAAATTACACAACAAATTAAAGTCAACGGTATGTCTATCAGTATTATGCCAATATTTTTAGTAACAAAAAACATTTATTACACAACGTATTTATCTTCTAAAAATTTTGATTGGGTTGGTATCTGGAATTGGGCAGTGTCTGAGTGTTTTTTGCGTACCACTATTTCCTTTTTTGTTTTTTACGAGTACTCTATCTCATGCTGAAGCGATGACAGTCAAGCTTCTTACACCCCGTATAAAACTCTATGTTGATATTGCACAGACATCATTTTAGGAATAGAATAGTCTGTTACATATCCCGAATCAAATTGTAATATTGTCACCAACAATGCCACACGTCAGACACAGCTAAACTTGCGGTTTGACAAATTCCTGCAGCCGTGTAACAATCGCGGTCATTAGCAGAGCCACCCTCGTTTTTGTTTTACTTTACAAAATATTAAGAGGGCGTGGTGAGAATACAACGGAGCGAATAACGCCAACCGTAAAGCAATAATGTGATGTGACAGATACAAAATATTATGGCCGGTTGTTTTCATAATTTCCTAAATTTTCTCACTTGGAGAAAACTGTTATTCGCACCTTGTCCTTGTCGTTTTCTTAAGAATTTATCTCTACATACATATTCATACGCCTGATGCGAAAATTAACTTAAATACATATAAATAATTTTCTTCTAAGCAATAGTAAAATAGTAGGTGTAAGTCTAAACAACTTTACTTACTGTAGGGCTGAGGACGGGATCCGTAATGCGGCTCCTGCAATAAAGGTTGCGGCCTCCCATTTGCGTTTTCCTTTACTGTAACAAAATAAAAGTCCTTTTAAAGAAAAAGGTCCGGACAAAGTTAGGATTAACTAAGGGTAACTGATAGGACACGTAAATATAGGAGAGCTCGTGGTCCCTTGCGCTTACACCAATAACTTTAAGTGTTCCTATTATTCCCGCATTACCAGAGGGGAATTGAAATTGGCTTTGTTAGTTTTTAACCTTTGAAAAATGTTTATGTAATACCGTATCTCGCATGGCAGGTACATACGTTGCGCGAGTCTTTTTAATTTACTATTTTATAATCGTATCAACCACAAAAACGAAATTAGGAAAATGAATAAAACGATTATTTTCCAAATCGTAAATAATCGATACTTAACAGTTAACATGCAATTGTACACGGAAGTATTAAGACCCCTTTGTGGCACAACAATGGCTTTTCAGGTCCCGCCGAGGTTTCAGAGAGACGTCAGAACGAATTCGGTTTGATAAGAGTAGAGCAAGAAGTCCACTGGTGCAATATAACTTTGTAATTAAAGTATAAAAGGTTCCAAACAATAGCCGCAAAAGTTTAACGTCTAGGAACATGCCACTTTGCATTAAGTTAGACTCAACTTTGAGCTTTTTTATTATTTATAAACGAGAATCCCTGAAAAGCGCTAGAGTCGACTCGAAAAAACGTATGGGGGAGAACAAGATTAAAAGTTTTGTGACCCGCGAAAATTGCATTTAACTTTAAGTCAGCTGAAAATACAAGTAGTTTAGATTTAACAGTATATTACTAAAACCATTAAAGTGAGTTACTTGAAACCAGCATTATACAGGGCGATTCACAAACGGTGACCAAAAACCTCGTATTCTTTGGTGAATTTTAAGGGGTCTTATTTCACTTACTAGTTTTTACATTATTTAAAAAAATTAAAAATATTTTAACACCCTGTATCTTTTTAACGAAACGTTCTAGACAAAAAATTTACAGCAAGACTGCCCTTAAAATTCACCAAAGAATATGAGGTTTCATTTTTGGTCAATATTTGTGAATACAATTTAAAAAATTCCGTAATTTTCGACAAAGTCTCCTGCTGAAGGAAAGGGACTGCAAGTTCCTTTCACGGTAAATATTCTGGATATATTTCAAAACTTTGGAACAAACTAGTTCGATTTGCGAGGGCTCAGGATGTCGGATGTGCTGGATAATTTTAAATTGCATCAAGCCGAATATGAAAAGTTGGAAGACGTATCTCTTGAAAACGGCTACAAGGAAACGATAAAATAGTCGGTAAGGTGCTTTTCCTTTGTCGAGGATCTTGAAAAATCCTTATCCATATTAAGATTTAAAACAATAATAGTTATACGTTAAATAAATGTAATATGCATTTTACTCTAGGGAGAACGTTTGTAAAAGCACAACAAATGTGTATATTAGCTTGATTCCTAACCTGTTCCAGGAATTCTACAAATCCCTCTGCATTTTAAGTCGCTGTGAATTAAATCAGCAAGAAATTTCCTCCTCGCATCCTCGCAAAAACAATGTATAATTACCACTACCAAATTATATTAGAAAGTACAAGACCATCCGGCCGACGTAGTGGTCTATTAGTGTTAAGTGTATTAGCGAAGAACTTTCAGCCCCCTGGGTTATACTGGCCACGTTAATTAGCAGCGCCTGACACGATGATGAATTACTTATTTTAATATCCTCCTCGTCTGCCGTATTCTCTTATGTTCACAACGTGATACACAAATTGAAGTAACACTGTTTGCCGGCGAACTGATTTCAAGCAGTTCTAGTCGATGAGAAGAACACTATTACCATTTTTGTTACAGAAATTGAAGTGTTAAAAAAGATGTAACATGTCATTAAGGATTTAAAAAAAAGAGAGAATTTATAAAATTTGTTGGGAACCTCTGGAATCGTTCAGACTTGCACACTACATAAAAAGAGGTGAATAGTGAAACAAAATTTGTTAAGGACATGACAAAATTGGTGTAAATTAGACAACGGATATCGAATAGCAATCACAAGCAGTCAAAATTGCGAGATTTAAGGGAGGCTCTAAAATGAATAGGGCGAACAGAGGCCAAGAGTATTTAGGTTAAAACCCAGATGACATAGAAACTCTAAACTAAGGGTTTATCCCACAGTCATGGGGAGAGTGTACACGCAAATTCATCTACGTATTCTGCGAGAATCAGACTAATATAAGGGTCCTGGACCCCAAACAAGGGGAATTGTAATACGCCTCTAATATAGAGACCACTTTCGCGGATTTGATTGTAATCCGAACCCGGTCGACGCAGATCGATCGGAGATACTGAAGTAGGTAGGTACAAATTTTATTTAAATGATGCCTTTTGTCTAAAACAAAGTCTTATCCACATGTCTTGCTTACAATTAGTGATACTTAAAACTTGTTCATATTCCATGAAAGTTGTATCAAAGTATTTGAAAATTTATAAATTTTACAGTTGCAGAGTTACAGAAGAATCCTTCTTAGGTGGACCATCTTTAGTCAAGGAGAAGGTCAAGATAAAATTTTTCGCCATTTTCTTTTATTGTGATGATGATGATCGTGAAAAAACACAAAAATCACAATTTTTTAGAACCCTCATTACTGAATCATCCCGAGGAACACTTCTCATAAAAACGGCGCCCAATAAAAGCCAAAAAGTCATTTCTATTTTAGCCGTTCGAGTCCATTTTCCCGGACTGAACGCCGTTACGTCGTAACGGGGGAAGAAGCTGAGCGGCGATAATTTATTTAGTGTTGGAAATTAAAGGGGTGCGGGAGCGTGAGAGAGGAGCGGTTTTCACGAGCCGATCCGTGTTATGTTCCTCGGAGGCGGATGTCTTTAATACTATCTGCACCCCGACACATGATACGCCCCCCTTCCCTTATCGCCGCTGCAGCTTTGCTTTGGAAGCATATCTTATTACGTAAAACGCGAGAAACATGACGGGGCAAAGAGCGGGCACGTATTACGGTGGCAGTCTCGCAGAATGTACTGCGAAACAAAAAAAAAATGTCGTTTATATAAGATGAGTCCCTTTCTCATCAAGATGTATACCTTTTGTTTTCCTTGTTTGTGGACTATGAGCATCTAAAGGGTTAGAATCGACATTTTGAATCATTTGAAGTTATTCTTAAAATTTCAATTGAAAACTACCTGAAAATTGGAAAAGATTCGTCCGCAAAGGGGCCAGAAGGACACCAGCCAACGAGTGCAAGAAAGTGGCGCAAGGGTCTTCAAATATCATACGGACTGTACCAACCAAAAACCTTAACATCTGGTTTAAAAGTTTCTTCAGAGCAATATCACATGTTATGTTCCAGTAGACGTAAAATGTCAAATGTAATTCGTTGACTAAACTTTTTTCACGGGCCAAATTTAAGCCAGTAAAATATTGTAAAATATCGACACGGCACGATAACGAACAATTATTCAATTGGAATTCTCTCCTCAGCTACTGCGGAGATGGGTTTTCAGTGAAGGCGCAGAATTAATTAGATTTTGGGGGTAATTAAATCGTTTGCTTTGGCCTAATAAATTCGAGATTTAAAAGGTGTCTACTGAATTAATGAAAAAGGCAAGTACGTAAGGCGAATTAAGCGCTAAGGTTTTTTAATAATCTGAATTAATTTGGAATCTACTAATGCTTAAAAGTTCGCCGGATTTATATTGCAAAACGAATATTTTTTCTTTTAAACACTCTGTGTATGTACAGATGTAAATCAGGATAACTTCGTTATCCTGATTTACATCTGTAGATGTTATACGAATTAAAGCGGGATTTTTTCCACTAAAATTGAATTATGTACGTCAATCAACACTTTTTAAGAAAAATATTAAAACGTAAGTAATTATTGATGACCCGCTGCCTCTTTTCAGTTTGATAAGAAAGTGAAGATCCGTTAAGTCCATTGTATCATTTCAACGTCACGGAAATAATTACCAATAAACGTTTACTACAGCTTTAGCAGGATTTTCATTCGATTATCTTCCCTTTTTTATATGGGCTGGAAATAATAGGTATTTTTGTCTGCATTATGGAATTCATAAATTCTCAAGAATATTTTTTTTCATTGTTTTAATATATACCCATAAAATTAGTAAGGTGCTTAATGAAACGGAAATGTATTGAAAACTGTACAGCCATTAAAAGTTGAACCAAAAACAACATTGTTAAATAAAATTATACCTACTTAAAATATAACATTCACATTATCCTTTAAAGAATATGAAATATTAAAGTAAAGTAAAGAAAAACGATAGTAAGTGGTAATTTTTGGGATATATCCGGTTCCGATTTTAGAAACAGCAAAAAAAATGTCCCATAAATATGTAAATAAATATTTGCAACTTTTTATAGAACACAAGACTTGCATTCTACCAAAGAATGTAACCTTCCATTCTCCTTTGATCTAATTCTAACGAGACTGCTTTATATCCATGCTTAGGTACATAATAACCGTATTCAGAAAGATTTGAAGGGACACAAGTGAAAAGCCCATGTCATCCAGTTCAAGAATATAATGAATCTCTGCAGTCGAAAGTACTTCCGCATGACATTTCAATAATGAGAACTATCGATGACTTTCGTTTAAATAAAACAAATTACAAGATAGGACTGAAACCTTTGAAAAAAGGATGAGAAAATGAAGAACGATTTTATTAACTTCTATGCAAAAAAGTACCCGCGTACCTGTATTATTTCTAATATTGATTCACTAGTAGTTATAAAAGTACAAGTTTAAAAATTGCTTCATTAAATATTCCACCTACGACTCACTGGGTCAAATATCTATTTTTAGCAAGAATTTTTGTTTCCGTTTCGCAAACAGCACATAGCGGAAGTTTCTTCTTACTATAACTTGACAGGTATAGCTGTTTCTTTCACAAGTGGCAGCATGTAGACTGTCATGGCTAGTATTAGATATTTTTTATTTTAAGAGTTTTCGTAATAACTCTAGTGGAAACTCCGAGGGGTGAAATAAAGGAATATCATCATTACGTCAATTTTTTTTGTT